CTCCTAGCAAAGCAATGCCTCTGGCCCAGCCTCAGCCCCCCCCTATTACTCCAAGGTCAGTTACGGATGCTCACAAGCACAGGTGAAAATCATGTACCCTAAACAGTATATAAGTCCCAGGGGATTGCCACAAAAGCAGACCTCAGCCCAAGCTGAAACTGCAGGGCAGCACTGTACAGTTAGCCAGTTTTAGGAAGAGTTGCCAGCTTCAGGTTGAGAAATACCAGGAGATTTGGGGGTGGATCCTGAGGAGGGTGGGGTTTGGGGAGGGAAGGGACTTCTGTGGGGTATAATACCATACAGTCCACCCTCCAAAGTGGCCATTTTCTCCACATGAATCCCAGGAGATTTCCATACACCCCCTAGAGGTTGGCAACACCCATTGTCGTTTTGGAGTTAAAGACAGATTAAGGGATGTAAGCATATATCTTAATAATCTTCTGGTTTTTTCTTTTCTGTGAATCACTAAAGATGTAATAAATTTTCTTCCATAATGTGTGTGTTTGTTGCCTCTGTGTCCCTTAAGGGACAAGAGCCATTGCTTCTCACAATATGCCACATTTGTCAAGTTGGGAAATCCTTGAAAATTTCAGGATGGAGCCTAGGCAGGGTGGGGTTTGCGGAGGAGAGAGACCTCAGCAGGCTATAGCATCACGGAGTGCACACTCCAAAGGAGCCTTTCTGTCCAGGAGAACTGACCTCTGTAGTATGGAGATCAGTTTTAAGTCTGGGAGATCTCCAGGCCCCACGTGGAAGTTGGCAACCCTATCTGGCTTGGCTGAAGCAGCTGAATTACATAGTGTCGCACTCTATCAAATGATTCCATACATAGAGGGAGGACAGAAAAGCTCCCTAACCATTGCTTTTCCCCATCTCACAAGCCTTCATTTATTGACCAAGGGGAGGGGCCATCGATTATGCAAGCAGTAGTACTAAGATTTTTAAAAGGGCTCAGAGCCTTGGTACCCAGAGCCTGGATGGTCACTGTTTCCCTTTTATCCCCTTACCTTCACTTTCCTTTCTCTGGCAGCCCTCGTATCATCTCCCCTTTCCCTTCTTCCTTTGCTCCCTCCCACTCACCCACCTACTTTAAAAAAAAATCTGACCCCATCTGCAGCTCTCTTTATTATTTATTTACTCAATTTATACCTCATCTTTCTCCCCAGTGAGGACACAAAGCAGCTTACATCATTCTCCTCTCCTCCACTTTATCCTCACAACAACCCTGTGTGCTAACAGTGTGTGTCTGGCCAAGAGTCACTCAATGAGTTCCACATCACAGCAGGGATTCAGACTCGAGTCTCCCAGATCTGCTACACCATGTTGGCATTTGTGGGGTGACTGCTGTTGAACTTTAGCAAGCATCCAGGCCTGTCTGAGTCTTGCAAAAGATATAATATTAAGTTGGTTGTTGGGACTGACCTCGGTGAGTCCTCCCAGCACCTCCCTCAATCATCCTGATGCCATTGGTCAATTTTGAGTAGCTGTATGAAGAGTTATGCCTGCCATAAATGGACAGACAAGTGGATGGAAAAAATGATAGACTGATGGATCCTTATATTATTATAGACTTACAGAATGTAAATTCAGCAAACTTGATGAATGTATGCATAGCTGTGTTTTCACCATCCATTTTATTATGCAATCATTTTATTAGTTTCTCTACCAGACCAGAGTGACCCATACACCTAATACCTGTGCCGCATGGCCATTACATTAAATCATTGTTATCAATTTGTTAGAGAACTGAGCTTAATCAATTGTCCAATAAACAAATATTCATGATGCTGCATTCCTAGATCCTCTCGATTCTAGTCCCGTTCCCTCATGCTGTACCTCCCCTGCAGTGGCTGACTCAAAACACAGCTGTATTTTAAAGGACCCTGACTCTACAGTGCGTGCTCACCTATCAACAGTGTTTCAGGGGTCATTCCCATTGTGGTCTTAGAGTTGCATCTCCATCTGTGCCCACCCCATTTCAGATGGGCCTTTCTCTGATTCAGTCTAGAGACTCCTCAGTAAGTCTGGCTAGGTTGTAGGCTGGACATTACTGAGTGGAGTTGGCTTTCTTTCCAAGAGAAGATAAGCCATGACTCAAACCATCCTCAGTTCTAGCTAATTTTAATCTCTTGTATGTGCAGAGATTGGTTCTCTCTGGAGATAGAGTCCTTGTAAAAGTTATGCTTGGAAACTGAAAATGGGCTCTGAGACTGACCCTTTATGAATGTGGGATCAATTCAAGTCCCTTCCTAGAGGCAGTTATGAACGAACTAGTATTCTTAGGAAATCGGAGGAGATGCTCCACTGGTTCCAAAAACTACCTGTTAATTTATGAGAGGGAAGTACTGACAATGATGCACACACCACACAAGGATAGTGTTACCCGTATGTCAATTAATCTTACAATATTATCCATCACTGCAAGAAAAGCCATCCAAATATCTGCAAGCACCAATACCAATCCAAAATGGGAAATCTGTAACAATTCTTCATTGTGCAACTCTACTATTTTGTGCACATACAGTATACACATTTGGATCAGGGATGTAATTTATATCCCCCACCCACCCAAAATCAATATACATTAGAAACTGATGTTGGAGGAAAGTGTCATCAAGTCACAACTAACTTGTAGCAACCATGTAGGGTTTTTAAGGCAAGAAATGTTCAGAAGTGTTTTGTATTTGCCTCCCTCTGCTTAGTGACCTCGGGCTTCCTTCAAGGTCTTCCATCCAAATAGTAGTCAGGGCCAACACTTCTTTTCTGAGAACGGACAAAATCAGGCTAGCCTGGGGAATCTAGGTCATTTGAGCTTACCTTTTTCAAAATACCCATTTTGAGGTAAGTCCAATACTTCATTTGATCCCTTCAACCATTTGCTTGAGTTATTTTGCATGTGAGCAACAGTGGTATTCAATATGGTAGCCACTGTGGGTCTTGGCTCTCAATTACCTTTTTGCTTGAATCACATATGACCCAGGGTCCTCATCAAAAGTAGATGTCCAATTTGCCCTATTTGGGCAAACCTATTGAGAGGGCGGTGGTGATACAGCCGCAGGGCTTTCTGGATGACGCTTCCATCCTAGATCCCTTCCAGTCTGTATTGGTCACCCTTACTGACGACCTCCGACGGCATCTGGTTCGAGGTGGTGTGGCGGCGCTGTTGTTGATAGATCTGTCGGCCGCATTCAACATGGTCGACCATCAGTTGCTGACCCACCGCCTCGCCGACGTGGGGATTCAGGGGCTTGCCCTTCAATGGCTTACCTCTTTTCTCCAGGGTCGGGGACAAAGGGTGGTGATAGGGGAGCAGCAGTCCCGGAGACACCCTCTTGTGTGTGGGGTGCCTCAGGGGGCTGTTCTTTCCCCGTTATTGTTTAATATCTATATGCACCCCCTTGCCCAGATTGCCTGGAGGTATAGTCTTGGGTGTCATCAATATGCCGAAAATGTCCAAGGAAAAAGTTATATTTATTATTTATGTATTTATTTTATTGCATTTATACCCCGCCCTCCCCGCGAACCGGCTCAGGGCAGCTCACATTGGGCACACAGTGCATACAATATACAAGTTTACATAATACAAGTACAAATTTAAAACTGACTAAAATCAGTTCTGCTCCTATACATATAAGATAAAGAAAACTTATATTCTTGCCTTATTTTTTTCGTATTAACAACTCTTTGCTGTTCACCTCGGGCCTCAGCAAGATAATGTAGCATTTTGGGGAAAAAATGCAGCACAGTAAACCAGCACTGGAGGCCAAAATGGAAAAGATCTCCACAGCTACCATGGATTTCCCCTTGATACTCACGTAGGTCGGAACAAAGGACAACCACACACTGCAAAAGACCAACATACTGAAAGTGATATGTTTGGCTTCATTGAAACTGTCAGGCAACTTTCTGGCAAGAAAAGCAACTGTGAAGCTGATAATGGCTAAGAGACCCATATAGCCCAGGACACAGTAAAACATGACAGCTGAGCCCTCATTACATTCCAATATGATTACCCCATGCAGTGACTCCATGTCCATATCTGGGAATGGAGGGTAAGTACTTAGCCAGAGAGTACAAATAGCTGCTTGAATACAAGAGAAGGAAAGAACAATTGAGTTAGCCATTTTTTTCCCCATCCATTTCCTCATCCTGGATCCTGGATGGGTAGACATGAATGCCAGAACCACTGTGATGGTTTTGGCCAACACACTGGAAAGGGCCACAGAGAAGACAATGCCAAAAATAGTTTGTCGTAGAAGGCAGGTTATCTTGTCAGGTTGTCCAATGAAGAACAAGGAACAGAGGAAGCAGAGAAGAAGGGACGTGAGAATAACATAGGTGAGGCTCCGGTTGTTTGCCTTGACTATAGGAGTGTTCTTGTGCTTTATAAAGATTCCAAACACCAGAGTTGTGATCAAAAATAAAGCAATAGCCAGTATAGCTAAAGTGATCCCTAATGGTTCGACACCATGTTAAAACAGCTAGAGCACCTTTGTTAATTAACGTTATTGTACTGTAGTGATTTTAAATGGTTTTAAATATGTTTTATATTGGCTTATGCCTCCTGTAAGCCGCCCTGGGCCCGCGTAGCGGGGAGCGTGGGGTATAAATTGAATTAAATAAATAAATAAATAAATAAAATCATGCACCATCATAGACAGATCATGAATCATAGTCAGATCATGCACTGAATTAGAATTCTTTTCACCTGCACAATTGCATCAGTTTGTGGCATTCATTGGGTTGGCACACTTGGCAGGTGATAATGCAAGAATGCTTAAATCAAATCAACAAGCTAAGTATTGTGAATCCGGCAGGAAAGCAAAATGGACAAGGCTAAAACAATACAGACACACCAACAAGATAAAAATCAACAACAAAACATGGCAAGTATTTATTTTAAAAGGTGATACTTTTTTTCAACAGGGACAGGAAAAAGTGTAAGAACCCCATAGAAATTTAAGTTTTATTGCAACCCTTTGGACCAAAAGGTTCTTCCCTTATTTTTTTCGTATTAACTGCTCCTTGCTGTTCACCTCGGGCCTCAGCAAGATAATGTAGCATTTTGGGGAAAAAATGCAGCACAGTAAACCAGCACTGGAGGCCAAAATGGAAAAGATCTCCACAGCTACCATGGATTTCCCCTTGATACTCACGTAGGTCGGAACAAAGGACAACCACACACTGCAAAAGACCAACATACTGAAAGTGATATGTTTGGCTTCATTGAAACTGTCAGGCAACTTTCTGGCAAGAAAAGCAACTGTGAAGCTGATAATGGCTAAGAGACCCATATAGCCCAGGACACAGTAAAACATGACAGCTGAGCCCTCATTACATTCCACTATGATTACCCCATGCAGTGACTCCATGTCCATATCTGGGAATGGAGGGTAAGTACTTAGCCAGAGAGTACAAATAGCTGCTTGAATACAAGAGAAGGAAAGAACAATTGAGTTAGCCATTTTTTTCCCCATCCATTTCCTCATCCTGGATCCTGGATGGGTAGACATGAATGCCAGAACCACTGTGATGGTTTTGGCCAACACACTGGAAAGGGCCACAGAGAAGACAATGCCAAAAATAGTTTGTCGTAGAAGGCAGGTTATCTTGTCAGGTTGTCCAATGAAGAACAAGGAACAGAGGAAGCAGAGAAGAAGGGACGTGAGAATAACATAGGTGAGGCTCCGGTTGTTGGCCTTGACTATAGGAGTGTTCTTGTGCTTTATAAAGATTCCAAACACCAGAGTTGTGATCAAAAATAAAGCAATAGCCAGTATAGCTAAAGTGATCCCTAATGGTTCTTTGTAAGAAAGGTATATTATGGATTTGGGGATGCAATGGCTTTGGTGCTTGTTGGAATAATGATCGTGGGGACATTCCACACAGGCATCCATATCTGGGGGGAAAACAGAAAGACTGCTCCAATATTTCAGTACTTTTAAAGGTAACCCACTTTCACTGCTTCAGTCCCCAAATTTAATATGGGAAT